CAGTGGGTACACCTGAAAGACTATGGGGGTATGGGAAAGAAAGAGGAAAGAAGAGAAACAATCAGTCTAAATTCATCTTACTTTCAGGGTCTAATGATGCCCAAGAGCCCCAATATGGTGACCAAGTTTCCATGCTTTGAACGGGTGACAGGAAGAACTGCTGGCGTTTGAGTGACTCCAGTGTTCTGAGCCCTAGTGGTTGCTCTGTCCCCTGACCTCCAACCATTTTCAAATGAGCTTTGAGGATGACTCGTTGGGGGTTGGGGCCCCATAGATTACCTGGCAACTCCTGCCACTGTCTACTTCCATCATTGCTTCCCGGTATGGCTACCCCAAGAGGACAGGTTGGGGAGCAATGGCATTCCCAGTTCTGGACTTGACTAGGAGTCAGCACAGAGATGTGAAGCCTTGTCCCATTTTCCAGAATTGACTCTTTGAAGGATTCTGAGTCTCAATGGCAACCTTGACAGCACAGAGCCAGTGCCAAGATAGCCACCCAAAGAAGTTACCTGGGGAGTGTCTGTAGGCCTCAGTGTCCCTGTAGTAGGCCAGTGCGGCAGCTGCAGCCGTGGCAGTGCTGGCGGCAGTGGAGGAGGCTGCTGTATCCAAGCCCTCAGACCCGGGGGGAAAGAAGACCCCCGATTCTGGTGGTGAAGATACCAAGGCAGGGTCCATAAACTGGGGTAGGGGCTCGGAGGTCCCCAAGGCCCCGAGGCCAGGGAACTCCATGGGGCCTCTGGGGTTTGACCTGTGAGGACAGGAGGGGTCCTCAGACGTAGAAACGCCCCTCTCCCCTCTCTATTCCCTCTTCCTCCTTTCTCCTTCCTCCCATTCCATTCCCTCAATCCTCTTATCCCCCTTTTCCACCTCCCTAGTACTCTCCTCTTGCCTCCTCTGTCCACCCTCATCTCTCCCTTATCTTCCATTCAGTTTTCTTACTCCCTATCCTGCCTCTTTCCCCTTCTTCCTCTTATCTTTCCTGTCCTCCTTTTCTCTCCTTCATACCCTCCTTTTACTTCTCTTCTGTTTTATCTCCTCTCCATTTTCTCTCCCCATCTCTTCTTTCTCCTCCTCTCCCCCTCTTCCTTCACTTTCTACTCTTCCTCCTCCTTCCTTCCTCCCTGCTCTCTCTTTTTCCCTTCTTCCTCTTCCTCTCCTTCTTTTCTCCCTGGTCCTCTATCTCTTCTATCCTTCCATCTCTTCCTCCCCTTTTCTTAGCCACCTCCCCCCTTCCCCATTCAACAACTGCTTCACTCCTCTTTCCTTCTCCTCCTTTGTCCTCGCCTCCCCTCTTTTGTCTTAATCATTCTCCTTTGCCTCCCTTTCTGCTCATCTCTTTCCCCTTCTCCTCATTTTCTCCTCTCCTCCTCCTCCACTTTCTCTTCTTCCTCTACCTCCACCCCCTCACCCTCCTAGGAATGTGTAGGTGGGGTGGGCTGAGCTGCAGAACCAGAGTCCCTTGAACTCCTTGGTCATTCCCCAGACCTTGGGGTTCAGCCTCCTGTCTCCCCAACTTCATCCCTATCTGTTACATCTTGCCTTCTGACTTTCTCAGAAACCCCATGGTTTCCGGCTTGACTGTCCCCTCCTCCACCTCCGTTGAGTGTGCAGACAGAGGGCCCCCTCAGTTCCTCCCTGTTTCATGGGGGGGTCAGTAGCCCCACTGCTTATCTCTGCCATCCCCGCCCAACTTTTGAAATCACCCCAAGGCCTGTGGCTTCCTCTGAGGAGGGGGACAGGTGGGAGGTGTTCCCTCTGCCTGTACCCTGTCCTCTGGGGAGGTCTGCCATAGTTCTGCTTTCGAGTTCGTTCAATCCCCACCATCCCCAGGCCTTAGTTTCCCCATCTGCTGGATAGGAGGTGATGACAGGGGTCTTTGCCCCTTTCCTCTATTCTTCTCTGTGTGTATCTCTTGTCTCCTTGTGTCTCTTTTCCCCAACTCTGCTTCTTGTCAAGTCTGGCTCTCTGTATTTCCCTCCCATTTTTCTATGCTACCATGATTCATTCGTCTTACACTCTCTGTGCTTTTATAAATGTCTGTTTTTCCTCCTCCCTTTGTCTCTCTTCCCATGTCTCTGATTCTCTTTCCATCTTTATCTCTCCTTTATCTCTTTTTGTCTCTCTCTTTCTTTGCTCTCTATATTTTTCTGTTTCTCTTTTTCCCTCTCCACTCATCTCTCTGAATGTCTGTATATCTCTCCCGCTCTGTCTCTTTCTGCTTGTTTGTCTCTTCCTTCGTGTTTCTCTCTGGGTCCTCTGGCCTTATTTTAATGTCTTTCTCAATGTTCCCAAACCCCTGATCATACCCTTCTGCACACAACCCCAGTTGAGGAGTCAGGAAACCTACCCCCACCCTTGACTTGCCCTGTGAATCTGAAAGCCTTGGTCTCCCTGTCTGTAGGGTGAAGTGACAGAGATAAAGAAGACCACCTTCCCCTGCCTAAGTGACCCATTGTATTGCCTATGTAGACAGGCTCACAGCTGGGCCCTGGGTTGGGGTTGTGCTGGGAAAGAGACAGGCCTGTCATTGTACCCACCATCAACCTTCTCTAGGCCCCAGGGCACCTTCTGTCTTCTCTGGGGACAGTGTCTTGCCTCCTCATCTCCAACTCCATCTCTTTCCTCTCTGTCTTGGCATGATTCTATCCTTGAGTCTCTCTCTGCATTTCTATCTCACTGTCCTTTTCTGCTCCTGAATCTCTCCCTCTTTCCCGTCTCTCCATCTCTCTTACTCTTCCTTTGAGTCTCTGTTTTTCTTCTTTCTCTTCATGTCTCTGTATTTTGCTCCTTTTCTGTCTCTCCTTCTCTCTGTTTTTTTTCCTCCTTTTTCTCTGTCTCGATTTGTTTCTTACTCTTTTTGTCTCTGTTAACCACTGTACATTTATCCCCTCATCCTCTCCTCACCAGCACCCCCCAGTCTCCTTCCAACCCCACTGCCCCTGTCCCTACACCTTGTACCTTGGCAGGTCCAGGACTGCCCATGGACAGAGATAAAGTTTATCTCGAGGCTGGGGGATATGAAAACTCCTTATCAGCTGCCCCACTAGAGTAAGTGCTGCCCCAACGGGTGGCAGGCAGCTGGCCGGCCCTCAGCTCTCCCTCTGTCCAGCCCCTCACCCCAGGTAACGTCCCCACCCCAGCCCTCAAGGGAGGGTCCCTCGGGACTGAAGGGAGTACAGATGGGATCTGGGGGCAGATGAGTCTTGGGAGAGTCTGAGATGGAGTTGGAGGGTTAGATATGGGGTTAAGGAGTCAGGGGTTTGGGGGACAACTATGGAGTTTGGGGTCAACAAATGCGAGTTTAAGAAGCAGTGAAAGGTTTGCTTGAAAAGTCACATTTTGGGATCAGAAATAAGTTGGGAAGGCAGAATCAGGGTTGGGGATCAGAGGCAAAGTTTGAGAGAGAGGGAAAGTTGAGAAGTTGGAGCTATAGTTTAGGGGTCGGGGTGGATTCTGAGAGTCATGGAAAAGTGTGAGGGTCCAAGGGTTTTGCTGGAGCAGAGACCGAGTTATATAGGCAGGCAGAGGTGTGTCTGATGACTAGAGATGGCTTATAGGAGCACAGGATGAGTTTGAGAATAGAGATACAATTGGAGTGCAGAAAGATTGGGTCCAGAGAGGGCACCTAGGGGGACAGAGAAATATCGGGATGCTAAGATGGGGTTTAGAGAAGGCAGACAGGAGGATTCATGTGACAGAACAGATTGAAGGGGTGGACTTGGTGTTTGGAGTGATGAAGACATTTTTATGCATAGGCAAGGAGTTGGGAGAGAGAAATGGTTTTAGGACATCAGAGAGAAGTCACAGGGAACAAGTACAGGATTTGAGAGGCAGTGATGGGGTTTAGAGCATGGAGCTAGGGTTTGGCAGTCCAGAGACAGGTTTAGGAGGTCAGAGAGAGAATTGGCAGAGACAGGTGTTGTGGAGTAGGCAGGGGCTTCAGAGCAGAAATAGGTGTGCGTGGTGGTGGGCACAGAAGTAAGCCTTTGTGGTGAATTCAGAGACAAGTTTGCGTTAGTGAAAGTCATATTTGGGGCAGAGGTTAGAATTTGGTGGGATGAAAGCATGTTTCGGGTCAGAGGTGGAGTATGGTGGGCAGAGTTAAGGGATCAGGAGAGCATAAATATCTTGGAAGCAGTGGATGGGAGTCAGGGCAGAGAGAATTGGGTTTAGGGGGCAGATTTGGGGTACAGATGGGGGTTGGAAAGATAGAGGTGGTCTGGAAGAGCTGTCAGGGGATTCAGGGGTGGTAGACACTTTGGGGACCAGTGGTGGGTTGGGGAGCCTAGAGCAGGCTGGAGGAGTAGCCTTGAAGTAAGGGGCAGCAGGCCCAGGGTTTGCCTTGCTGGGGGCTCTTAGGGGGCTGAGACTGACCTGGGCTGGTTGGTGCGGAGGGTTCAGCTGCTTTGGGGATGTGACGAGCTCAGTGTGATCCCAGGGGGTGTCCAGGCTGGCCTTGGCCTTTGAGGCTCCCTTCCTCCTTCCCTCCCTCCCTCCCCTCTCCCTCCTCCCTCCTCTCCAGGGAGTGGCTGGTGCCCCAGTGGGTGGGGCAGGCCAGGGGAGGGGGCGGGCCCCCTACTGGTGGGGCACCTCTTGGGCAGTGGGGCCTTCTTCCACCCCACCTGCCCACCCTGTAGATTCTTGGACCCTGTTTGACTTGGGCTTCTGTGGGCTTCAGTGTCCAGTCAAACAAAAATGGGCTGAAAGCAAGATAAAATGAAAATAGCAGATATGGTTTCATGATCCCGCTGGGCTTTTCAGTGAGTTTTACAAACGTAAAGCCCCTACTGTGTGCTTAGCCAGGTGAAGGCTGGCCCCCTATGTATGTGTCTTCCTGGCCAGAGGGAGAGAAGGGCTGTGACTGTACCCATTTTGCAGGTGATAAGAATGAGGCTCAGAGAGGTTTGGTGGGAATTTGAATCAAGATGTTGGTGGGACATCTTCAGGACCCAGGCCCACCCCGGGGACCAGGCCAAGACTGGCGGGAAGCAAAGGCACATTCACTCAGCGCCCCACTGGGGCTTACGCCAGCTCTGGCCTGCCCTGGGGCAGCAGATAAGTCTTATCAGATGGAGGCCAGCGTGGCTGTTGGCTCCGCGGTGGTAACAGGCTGTCTTGGGCTGGGGGGGCGGAGCTGGGGGGGCACCCAGGGACAGTGGCCTCAACTTCTTGCCCGCCATGCGGCTTTGGAGGCGGGAAACAGGTGGGACTAGGGGTTGGTTCCTCTGCAGGTCCTTGAGTACGATAAAAGGGGAAAGGAAGGAGGGAGGGATAGAGAAGGGAGAGAGGTAGAGAGATGGGAATGACGAGACACAGATAAATAGAGAGAGAGACAGAAAGAGACGTAGAGCTGGAAGGAGACAGAGAGAGGGCACAGAAAGGAAGGAGAGACAGAGGGGTGAGAGACGCACAGAGAGGGGCAGAGACAGTTAAGGACAGACAGAGGCTAAGAGAAAGGAAGACAGGTAGAGATGGACAGAAGGTACAAGATAAAGCCTGAAAGTGACAGAGGCCAAGGATACAGGTGGAGAAACTGAGAAGGGAGAGAAAGATGATACAGAGAAGGGGAGGACAGAGACACAGATTCAGCAACAGAGAGTTTGAGAGGAAGTCATGAGACCCCAAGTAGCAGCCTGGCATATGCCCTGGGTAGGTGGTGCCAGGGTGGGTGGGATGGGAGGGGATGTGGACTGATGCAGACCCGTGTGGCCTGTGGCCTGAGAGGGACCTCCAGAGAGCCACTGGGTCCCTGTGCCACCTTTTTATCCTGTTCTCCTTCCCCCAAATAGTAACAATGGGGACAACAACCACTGTCTCATTGCTGACACAGACCCGTGTCCTGTTCTGAGCGCTTTCCCCATGTAAAATCATTGAATAAACATGTAAATATAGCTGTGAAACTTGGGTCCCTGTAGGGCAGGGGGTAAGACTAACCAGCCATGGCCCTGGGACTCCACAGGCCAGGGAGTTCCCTGGTCCACCCATTCTATGGATGAGGTGACCGAGACACACCAGGGGCAGAGGGCAAGGATGAGTAGGCTCTGCTCATTCACTGGCCCACCCCAGAGGGATTTTATCATCCTCATCTTACCTGTCTGGGCCTCACTGTCCTCATATGCAAAATGGAAGATTTGAGGAGGAAAGGAGGCTATTTATTGAGCTCCTGCTCTGTGCCCTACTCTGTGCCAAGCCCTTGTCAGTAACAGAGAGGACAAAGACCCCTATGACTCAAGTGATGATTTCAGGACATCCACTCTGGAGCTGGCCCACCCTCATTTATGGGCCACCCTTACCACTGACTGGCGTGTGGCCTTGGGCAGTTACTGTCACCTCTAGACTTCAGTTCCTCATCTGAAAAGATGGGGTACTAGCGGCCACTCCACAGGGTGATTAGAGCGACTCAATGAGACTTTATCCATTAAGTGATTTCAACTCATTTGATGCTGAAATCTCAATAAATGTTAAGTATTCTTATTTATTCATTGAGTGCCTACTGTGTATGAAGGATGGTATTTGGCCCTATTTTATTAGCACTACTTCTAATGCTAGTACTAATGCTAGTAATATGCTGATACCAATACCAGTACTAATTCTAATTACTAACATTCTAATATTGATACTAGCACTAATGCTAATTTTAATAGTGATACTAATAATGTTTATTATTAGTAGTAAGCATTAATAGTAATGGGCTTCCTGGTGGCTCAGATGGTAAAGAATCTGCCTGCAATGCAGGAGACCCAAGTTCAATCCCTGGGTTGGGAAGATCCCCTGGAGAAGGAAGTGGCAACCCACTTCAGTATTCTTGCCTAGAGAATTCCATGGACCCGGGAGCCTAGTAGACTACAGTCCATGGCGTCGCAAAGTCAGACACGACTGAGTGACTAACATAACGTAACATAAATAATTATGCTAATTCTAATCTAATACGAGTACTTTATTAATATTCATACTAATTCTAGAACTAAATTATTATTCATTTTAATTCTATCAACGACTCCAGTGACTAATAATAATAATACTAATTCTGATACTAACATTTTTCCTAGCACTAATATAATAACCACAGCAGCATTATTTGCCAAGCCACCCCAAGCACTGTGCTAAATGTTCTCCATGCATCATTTTTATCCTGATCTCACCAATCCTTATGGTGTAAGTGCATATAATTGCCCCCATCTTCTGGACTGGGAATAGGTGCAGAGAAATGAAAATATTCATCCAAGGCCTTGGGTTCTTTCTTGTCTCAGCTCTGACTGATTTGCTGCCTGATTCCTGGGTAGGTCAATCTCTGAGCCTCAGTTTTTTTGCTTGGAAAATGGGTATAATCATGGAACCCACCTCAAATGTTGTTGAGAGGCCACTCAACACAGGGCCTGCCTGCACATCATAAATGGTAAGCTCTGTAGTAGTAACTCTCTTCACTGTTATTAGAAATAGCAGGTGCAGTGTTGGGGTAAGGTGGGGAAGTCTGCCCTCTTCAGAGGCAGACAAGGGTTTGGCTGCTGGACTCACAGCCCATTTCTTCATAACTAGAGTGGAGAAAGGGTTCAGAACGGAAGTAAAGCGTGGGGAGTGGGGGCCTCAGAGCTCTGCCTCCATCAAGAACCAAAACCCTGAGGCTCTGAGGCCAGGCCTCACCCCATTCCCTCCCCCATCCCTGTGGAGGGGGCACAAGCCCAGAAGTCTGTGGTGACAGTTCAGCCAGCAGGGAGGCAGCTGGGAGTGGGCAGATAAGGGAATCGCCAGGGCCAGGCCAGGCTTTGGGGGAGCCCAATGAGGGCGGGGGTGGGTGTCTGGGCCAAGCATCCTTTCCCTCAGGCCTCCATTTGAGACTCAGCCCCAACGGCCTCTCTTCCTCTCTCTTCCCAGAAGCCTTCCCTGACTGGTTCCCTCCCTCCTGGCATCTTCTGGGGCTCCAGAGCTTGGTCCAAGCCCATGGCATTTGGACTATTCTTGTCTCTTCCAGACTGTGGAGTCCATCAGGGCTGGGACGAGCCTGACTCCCCCCCGTGTCAGTAGCACCTGGAGAAGCGTCAACCAAAGTCGACTAAGGAATCAGATGTTTGCCTTAAAACCACACTATTTTGTTTTTAAGAGAAAACTATAAGAGATACTATAACAAGCACTCACCTTTGTCAAATGTTAATATTTTGCCCTATTTACTTCAGGTCTTTTTTAAAAGAAATATATTACAGATACAGTTGATACCCTTGCACCAATTTAACTTCATTTCCTCCTCTCCTTCCACTACCTTGAATTTGGTGTTTATCTTTCTCATTAATGTTTTGATGTTTTACATTGCATTACTGCATATGTATGTACCCATGAATAGCAAATGATACTTGGGAGTTTTGGCCTGTTTTTGACCTTCATACAAATTAAATCATATAGTATGTGCTTATTTTGCTCAGCATAATATCTGTGAGATTCATCCAAGTTGTTGTATAGCTCATTTTTTTTTATTGAGATGTAATTCGCATACCACAAAATTCACCCTTTAAAGTATACATTTCAGTGGTAAGTAAATTCACAAGGTGGTACAACTGTTAACCACTTTTTGATTCCAGAACATTTTCATCATCCCATAAAGAAACCCTGTGCCCATTAGTAGCCATTTCCCTTTCCACTTCCCCCTCCCCACAGCCCCTAGCAACCACTAATCTACTTTATATCTCTATGGAGTTGCCTGTTATGGACATTTCATATAAATGGAATCATACAACATGTGGGCTTTTGTGACTGGCTTCTTTTACTTCACATAAAGTTTTCAAGGTTCATTAATATTGTAGCAGAGAAGGCAATGGCACCCCACTCCAGTACTCTTGCCTGGAAAATCCCATGGTCGGAGGAGCCTGGTGGGCTGCAGTCCATGGGGTCGCGAAGAGTCGGACACGACTGAGCGACTTCACTTTCACTTTTCACTTTCATGCATTGGAGAAGGAAATGGCAACTCACTCCAGTGTTCTTGCCTGGAGAATCCCAGGGACGATGGAGCCTGGTGGGCTGCCGTCTATGGGGTTGCACAGAGTCAGACACAACTGAAGCGATTTAGCAGCAGCGGCAGCATGTTGTAGCATGGATCAGTACTTCATTCCTTTTTAGGGCTGAATAACTTTCTATCACATGAAAACTTCATTCCGCTATTCATTCATCCAATTAGTGAACAGTTTTGGCTGCGTGAATAATGCTACTATGAACATGTGAAAATTTTTATGTGGATATATATTTTCAGTTCTCTTGGGTGTGTATCTAGGAATGGAATTGCAAGGTCCTGTGGTAATTCTCACTTCAGCTTTTTGAGGAACCTCAAAGGTATTCTCCAGAGTAGCTATATGAAGGTTATACATCCTCTCCAGCACTTGTTACTGTGCTCATTTTTGATCCTAGTAAATGTGATATGGTATCTCATTATGCTTTTGACTTGTATTTCCCTGATGGCTAATGATATTGAGCATCTTTTCATGTGTTTGTTGGCTTTTTTTTTTTTTAACCATACCATGAAGCCTGCAGTATCTTAGTTCCCTGACCAGGGATTGAACCCAGGCCCCAGCAGTGAAAGCACTGAGTTCTAACCACTGGACCACCAGGGAATTTCTGGTTGGCCATTTGTATATATTCTTTATAGAAATGTCTGTTCAGATCCTTTGCCCATTTTATTTGGGTTGTCTTTTTATTTTTGAGTATTAAGAATTCTTTGTTCTGGATGCTAGACCCTTATCAGATATGTGGTTGCACATATTTTTCTCTTATTTGTGGGTTATCTTTTCACTTTCTGGAGAGTGTCCTTTGAAGCACAAAAGCTTTTAGCTCTTTTTTCCTTGGATGCATCATGCAACTTGTGGAATCTTAGTTCTCTGACCAGAGGTTGAACCCAGGACCTTGTCAGCGAGAACATGGAGTCCTAACCACTGGGCAGCCAGGGAATTCCCAAAAGTTTTTAGCTTTGAAGAAGTCCAGTTTATTTATTTTTCTCTTTGTTTGCTATGCTTTAGGTGTCATATGTAGGAAACCGTTGCCTAATCCAAGGTTGTGAAGATTTATGCCTAGGTTTTCTTCTAAAAGTTTTATAGTTTTAGTGCTTAATATTTAAGTCTTTGATCCATTTTGAGTTACTTTAATGTGAAGTAGAGGTCCAGTTTAATTCTTTCCAGCTGTCCCAGCACCATTTGTTGAAAAGACTATTCCTTCCCCCATTGAAATGTCTTGGCACGCTTGTCAAAATCAATTGCCCATGGTGCATAAATTTATTTCTGGACTCTCAATTCTATTCCATTGATCTGTATATTATATTTATCTTTATGCTAATACCACACAGTCTTGATTGCCATATGATGTAAGTTTTTAAATTGGGACATGCAAGTCTTCCAACTCTGTTTCTTTTTCAATAGTTTTGTAGCTATTCTGGATCCCCAAAATTTCCACTTGAATTTTAGGGTCAGTTTGTCAATTTCTGCAAAGAAGTAAGCTGGGATTCTGATAGGAATTGCACTAAATTTGTAGATCAATTTGGGGAGTATTGCTATTTTAATGCTATGAAGTCTGTAATTCATAAACGTGATGTGTTTTTATTTAGGTATTCTTAATTTCTTTCAACAATGTTTTATAGTTTTCAATGTATAAATCTTGCCCATCTTTTGTTAAGTTTATTACTAAGTATTTTCTTTTTCTGATGCTATTGTAAATAAAATTGTTTTATTAATTTCATTTGTGGGTTTTTCTTTGCTAGTGTATAGAAATACAATCAAGTTTTCTATGATCTTGTGACTTACAACCTTGCAGAGCTTTGTTGTAATGGCTTTGTTGTGGGTTCCTTAAGATTTTCTGTGTACAAGATCATGTTATCTGCAAATAGAGATTGTATACTTCTTTCTTTCCAATATGGATGTCTTTTATTTCTTTTCCTTGCCAACTTAACCAGACTAGAACCTCCAGTACAATACTGAAGTGCTGAGAGGGGTTATCCTTGTTTTGTTCCTCATCTTCAGGAAAAAGTCTTTCACCATTAAATATGATGTTAGCTGTAGATTTTTTTGTAGATGCCATTTGTCAGGTTGAGGAAGGTCTCTTCTATTCCTAGTTTTTTGAGTGTTTTATGTTTTTGTTTTAATTTATTTTTAATTGGAGGATAATTGCTTTAAATGTTGTGTTGGTTTCTGCTGTTCATCATTGTGAATCATCCATTGTTGAGTGTTTTATCATGAAAGGGGGTTGAATTTTGTCAAATGCTTTTACTGTATCTATTAAGATCCTTTGGATTTTGTCTTTTATTCTATTAATATGGTATATTACATTAATTGATTTTCACATGTTGAACTAATCTTACATTCCAGGGATAAATCCTACTTGGTTATGGTGTGTAATCCTTTTATACATTACTACATTCTATTTACTAGTATTTTGTTGAAGATTTTTGCATCTATATTCATAAGTGATATTGGTCTATAGTTGTTTTTTCTTACCTCGTCTTTGTCTTGTTTTGGTATCAAGTAATGATGACTTCGTAAGTTCATTCCCTTTTATTGCCAAGTAGTATTCCATGGAATGGATATACCATATTTTGGTTAACCATTCATCTGCTGATGGACATTTGGGTTGTTTACAGTCTTTTCTTTATTACAGCAAACCTGCCACTTACAAACTCATATGTCTCTCTGCACACACATGTGGAAGAGTTTTTTCCTGGGGCAGGGGATATCAGTCTATCCATCCTTCCACTTCCCCACCCATCTATCCATCCACCTGTCCACCTACCCCTTTATTCATCTATCCATTTACTCCCCTTCCTTCCTTCTTTCTTCCTTTCCATTATTCCTTTCCTTCCATCCTTCCTTTGTTCCTTCCTTCCTTCCATAAATCATCTATCTCTTGGCACATAGCATCTGGGTCCAAGGCAAGTTATTTTTGTAAAAAATAGGCAGGAAACCTGCTACAGCTTTTGGCAAAGCCTTTCATGTGCTAAAACTCACATCCTTAATCATCCTCTGTCCCCAGCATTTTGGGGGCTCCCTGGGAGTTTACTCATAGGGCATGGCTAAACTACCATCTGGAGACCAGAGTCCACAAGACTAGGGGCTCCCTCACCTTAAAGAGAGTCTCATATGTACTCCTTCATCCATCTCTTATTTGCCTAGGTACCTGTACTCTCCCCTTTCCTCTTTGCCTGCCTCATTCACTGGTTCCTCCTCTTGTTTCAGAACTCTAAGTGTCCTTGGATCTCTTCTCTAGTTGACATTTTCTCTCTTGGTGAACTTATCCAGTCTCTGTCTTCAGAGTATCTCCAGAATCTAACCACTTTTTACCACCTCTCCCACCAGCACCAGTGTTACTCATCTGAACCACTGCAGTAACCTCCTCCTCAGGGTCCCCCAGCTTCCACCCTCAACCTTGCAATCTGTTTTCCTCAAAGCATCCAAAGGGAGCTTGTTAAATCCTAAGTCAGATCACAGCTCTCCTCTGCTCATGACTCTCCTGTGGCTCCCTTGTGACTCAGAGCAAGAGCCAGAGTCCTCTCCATGGCCCATGAGGACCTGCACCATCTGTCCCCCCAACCTCTCCCACCTCACCTCCTGCCACTCCCCCCACTCTGCTCCTCTGTACTAGCCTCTTCACTGCTCCTCACAGACTCCAGACCCCTGCATGTATCAGGGCCTTTGCACTGGCTATCCCTTCTGCCTGCTATGTTCTTCCTGTAGCTATTGGCACAGCTCCCTCCCTCATCTTTTCAGGTCTGGGCTAAATTTAGTCTTCTTTCTCAGTGAGGTTTCCCTGACCATCCTATTACATATTGGAAAATGCTTCAGTTTTTTTAATCTATTGCCACTTTTCCAAAGAACCTATCATCCTCTTAACACACTTGATATTTTCCTTACTTAATTTTATTTCTTTTCTGTCTCTCCCACTAGAATGGCAGCTCCACAAAAATAGATAAGTTTATCTCTTCTGTTCAACACTGTCTTTCCAGTGCCTGGAACAGGCCCAAGCACACAGTAGGTGCTCAATGTATGTTTATTGATTGACTGAATCAGTAAATGGTGGGGGAAGAGGACAGAAACAGAGAAAATTTGTTCTTGTCCCATCTGTCTCCTCTTGTCAGGAGCAGAGCATCAGTTGAGATGAGTCTGAACCTACCAGATCCAAACATAGAAAGTGCCATATTCCACAGGGCTGAAACCAGCTAAGGTGCTCCAGGAGGAGGTAGTATTATCTGGGCTGGCCCTTGAAAGCCCCATGGGAATCACAGAGATCTTGGAGTTCAGTCAAACCAGTTGGCTGGAATAAACAGCAGGCAGCACTTGGCAGGAGTGAGCTGAATCAAAAAGGATGAAAAGGATAAGCTTACTGACAAGGGGAAATTTATCAGGGGTCTTGAATCCCAAGGTGATGACCCTGAATTTGGTCCTCAGAGATGTCATAGCCCCTGGTCACTGACCCCCAAATAGCTCAGAGACCTTATATTCTAGAAAAACAGCCATATATAATGCTGAGACAGTAATAATAAAGAGCTCATGTTAATTGAAAGTTATTTATTGGGGCAGCTTGGATAGGGGACTCTCAGACATGTTGGTCCCAAATCCACCTCAGATCGCCCAGCAAAATGCATAAAGTGCCTGAGTCCTCAGTCGTTAGAGGTTTCTGGGCCTGGGTGAGGGTTTGCAGGAAGGAAGGGAGGGGGTGACGTGGCAGGGGGTAGAATGGCAGAGCACTAACCTCCATCATGAGGAGATATAGTTGGGACACCTCAATCAGGTTTCCGTCAGGTTCTCGGAAGTAGATGGACATAATGGGTCCTTTTGCCCCTGTTCTGGGGACTGGACCCTCCTCAATGACATCACAAGCCTGAAGTGGGAGGAGAGAACAAAAATCATTCATTCACAGTCCATGTTTGAGACCAAAATTTCATCCTTTACCGTGGCCTAGAAGATCCCTGTATCTTTCACATTTCATTTCCTACCATTCTCTTCTCCCTCACTCTGTTCCAGCTACTTAACAGCTGTATGACCTCAAGCAGAGTACCTAACTGCTCAGCACCTCAGTTTCCTCATCCATCAAATGGGGATGATAATGTGCCTAGTAAGTGGCAGAGTCAGAATTCAAACCCAGGCAAGTCTGGGCCAAAGTCCATACCTTTAACCCCTATGCTTTACCCACTTTACTTCCGAGCCAGACTTCACTGATATTTTCCAAAAGAGTCCAGGTCAATTTGCACAAAATAGATTTAATACCTCAATCTGTGTTCCCCAAAAGGAGAACCAATGTCCCCTTCACATGAAATCATCTTAAGTATTACAGGGATGCTAAATTAAATTATAGTGAGTCAAAAAAAATTACAGTGAGTCAGAAATTATTCCCTATTCAGTCCTCTTTCAATCCTCCTGATTATATCAAGAAGAAAGTGTCTGGTGGATGCAAAGTCCTTGATACCTCTCTAACCAACCTAATTTTGTCAAGCCCAGAGATTGGGGGAAGCAGAAGTGGCTAGAATCTAATGACACTGCAATGCTTTTACAGCTGTTTGTTTTTTATAATTGCCTCCCCTTTATGCCAAGATATGATGGGTTTCCACTTACTTGGTTGAATATTTTCTTTTTACACAAATGTATTTATATAAATAGAGTTTAGGTATACTGTTTTCCACAAGGGTGATGTAAAGTTTTCTTTTAAAATACATTTGTTTATGGGGAAAATTATGTCCATGATAATGAGTAAACAATGGTGTGCAAACCTTATCTGGATGTGATGAAACCTGTTATGTCTGAAGTTTGAGTCATGCTTCTGTTTTCATTGCATCTGTAGCAGCTTTCTCAAAAGAAGATGGAAGTCTGACTCACCTTGAGGCACTGGACCATTTCCTCCAAATGCATCTTTGTGATCAGACATATATCCAGGGAGCCAGGGACCAGGTGAGTGGCTTTGGGTTCAAATTCCTTTCCCACCTCATGGAGGTTAAATTTCTGGTCTCCAAAACACAATGCTTTGTGGTCTCCCTGTTTGGGGGGAGAAAACAACCTAGAACTAAACCTCCAAGGTGAGTGTGAGGCACAGCCCCCTATCTACCCCAACAAGGTTAAAAAAGAAATAGAACAAGGCTTTGATGAAAAATAGCCACTTGGTGCCCCACTCTTATCTTGTTCCCTAGAGGCAAATGGTTTCAATATATGTATGTGTTTCTTCTGGAAATTATTTCCATACCTCCAAATAATATGTTGATACTATCCATGGCAGAGACTATAATCTGCCTGCTTAATATACATTTCTCCCCTTTTTCTTTTAAACACAACCCAAGTTTCAGTGGGATCCATTGCACACCCAGCTTTAAAAACCTGCATTTCCCAGCATTCCTTGCTGGGCAGCCATTCCACAATGAAATGTTAGCAGAGGCTGTGAGCCATGCTTCTGAAAACCTTCCCACCCCACTGAGCTGACACTTTTTGCCTACTCATTTCCTCCTTTCAGCCACTGCCCACACCCTGCCTGCCTACCTCTAGACTGATTGTTGAATGAGAGAAAGAGAAAACTCTATTTTATTTAACCCACTTAGCTTAACCCAGTTAAGTTTTCTCCCACGTGCCTCCAAACACAGTCCCTAACTGACGTGCCACTATTTCTTGATTTGGCAACTTCAGACATTTTCTATCCTTTTCCTGCTATGATAAATGAGAATTTAGCTCATCCACAATACTACCCATCCCAATAGAATTCTGTCTTCGGTTTTAGCTCCTCTTTTGATTCCTTTACAATTTAAAAATAACCCACTTGCACCTTAATGTTTTGATGGATGAACATAGTATCTCATTGACCCAACTATCTTCTTCATCTTGCCTCTTTCTCCTGTGCCGGTCAACTTCTGCCATTTTTATTTATTTATGTATTTAATGGCAAAATATTTTAATTTTTTATAAAGCTATTTCCCTCAATCCATAGACACTACACAGAAAAGAATCTGTATGCGTGTGTTCTGGTTGAGCAGGAGGATGAGACTTCTGCCATTAAAAAAAATCACTTTTATAGTCCCTTCATATCACCATGGTGGATACTACATTCATTCTATCAGAAAATGACTTTATTTAACTTGAATGATAGTTCAGCTGAGTATAGAACTTGAGGTTGTAGGTTATTTTCCCATAGCCTATTATATGTGGCTTCATTGTCTTCCTGAATCTGGTATTGCTGATAAGACGTCTGATGTTAATCTGTTTTTCATTTCTTTTATATATGATGCATCCACCCGCCACTCTTGAAGCTTTTAAGACTTTTCTTGATCCTAGATGTACTGAAATTTTACTCCAGTGTGTCCAGTTACCAAGGACTGAGGCTTCGTATGCCTATTATTGTTGATGCATGCAGGGCCCTTCTCTTGTTTTATTTGTATACTTAATCTCTTTATCTCCAGTCTTCATTCCTGGCCCCAACATAAGCAATGATTGTAATGTGTTTGATGTTCATTCTTTGGTTTTCATAAGTTATTGTAAAAGGTGTATTATTGTTTTATGTGTGTATGTTATAAATGGTACTGTGCTATAGACATGATTTGGCTTCGCCATTTTCATTCAGCATGATCTTTTTAAGATCCGTCCACCTTGCTGTGTATACATCCAGTCTGATACTGCATAATTCTATTTTTATTTATGACATTCGATGTTGGAGCTTCCCAGGTGGTGCTAGTAGTAAAGAATCCGTCTGGCAATGCAGGAGATCCAAGAGACTCGGGCCCAGTCCCTGAGTTGGAAAGATCTCCTGGAGTAGAAAATGGCACCCTACTCCAATACTCTTGCCTGGAGAATTCTATGGGCAGAGGGGCCTGGCGGGCTACAGTCCATAGGGTTGTAGAGTTGGACACAACTGAGAGACCAAGCACACAGCACAGAGCACACATTCCATGTTAATTTTACATTTTTTTTACCCTGTTTGCCATTCATGGGCCCTTTCCATTGAAAGCAATCAGTGTCTCTGCATCTCCCACTTTGGGAGTTGTTCCAAATTCTCAAGGATTGTATTCAATCTCTGGAAACCTTTTTACCTTGAATCTGTTTTTCTTGGGGACGTTCCTTCTCCTGACCCAAACTGGACTGATTGTGTTCTAGGTATCTTTCTGGATCTTCCTCTTAGGATCCACTGTTTCCTGACTTTGATGTCTTATTCCTGGATTAATCACTCATTTTGATAACATATTCTCAAGTAATTTTGAAAGCAAGTAGGCCAAGCTTCTGAGTCTTTTTATTAATATGTCTAAGAATGTTTTATTCTACACCCATCTTGATTAATAATTTGTCTGGTCATAGAGATCTAGGTTGAAATGTTTTCCCTCAGAATCTTGAAGTTGTTCTTCTGTTGTCTTCTGGTCTCTGACTCTTGGGAAATCTGAAGTCTGCATATTTCCTTTTCATTTGTACTTGAACTACTTTTTAACCTCTCTGAAAACTTCTAGGGGCTTTGTATTTATTTTGATGTTCTATAATTTCTTAGGAACATATCTAGGTGTAAACATGCTGGATACTCAGTTAACTCTTTCCATATAAGGACTGGAAAGTTCTCTCACATTATTCTGTGGTTATTTCTTCCCTTCCTTTTTCTTCACTGAATAGTGAAGTCCCACTATTCAGAGTTTGGAATCTCCTCCACTGGTCCTTTCTAAAATTTTAAATTGTGTGTGTGTGTTTTGGAGTTTTAGGCTACTTTTTAAAGTAGTATAATCAGGGAGGTGGGAGGGGGGATCAGGATGGGGAATACATGTAACTCCATGGCTGATTCATGTCAATGTATGACAAAACCCACTGCAATGTTGTGAAGTAATTAGCCTCCAACTAATAAAAATAAATGAAAAAAAAAATAAAGTAGTATAATCAAATTTTACCCCAGCTGCAGTTTGGCATTTGGGGAAGTTGTTACCTCAAAAGTCATGACCTCCATGCCCAGGATCTTGGAATAAAACATAGTGGTGTCTTTGAGTCTCTTTACTGTCATCACAATGTGGTCAAGCCTATGGATAAGACACAGGGAAGGGGTCCAATTGTCCCTCCATGACTAAAAAAAGAAAAAAAAAGAGTCAAAAGAGACCACACTGCCACTGGTCACACCCATGTTTCCTGTGTTTCCTTCTCCCCACTTCCCCTCACCTCCCTAGTGACTATACTTCCTTCTACCCCCATTCCAAGGGGAAAGTCCTGGGAGAAATCTTCAGTACTTATTGCTCATGTGTGGATTCACAAGAGTCCATGTGTCTGCTATGACCACCCTCCACTGTTTTCTTATTCTTTTCCTCCTTCCAGAGGGATAGAGGTGAAGATAGGAGAGTTGAGACAAAAAACTAAACTCTTCTTTGTTTTCCCAGAGCTGGAATTCATCTCTTTTATAAGAAATGATAAGACACAGAGGAGGCCCACTTCCATGAGTACAAAACCTTTATTGGCCAATTTAAAACTCAGTCCCTTCCTTTATCACTCCACAGTTAATCACAGACGACAGGACAAGAAGGGAGCATCTCAGATGCAGTGATGTTTCTGGCATGTGTGCCTACAGATCAACACTGACACGTAGGGGGACGGCACACCTCCCTACCACTCATTTCCTGCCTTCAGCACACCTCCCACCAGATCTTTCTCTTGATTCGAGTTCTTTAGTAATTTGTATGTTTACATTACATCTGCTACAGGATTATAAGATGCCTATGCACCATAAATTGCAGAGTATAGTGGTTAAGAAAAATATTGTGGAGCCAGACTGATATCTACTTACTCTTTGGGCCGAGAGAGTTTGGTTTCCACTTCTGGAAAATGGGTATGATTTTTTAATGTGTTTTATAGTACTGTTGTGAACAGCTTTTAAAAAAAATGTTGGGAGGAATTCCCTGGTGGTCCAGTGGTTAGGACTTGGTGCTCTTACTGCCAGGGGCCCGGGTTTGGTTCCTGTTTGGGGAACTAATATCCCACAAGCTGGGCAGTGTGGCCAAAAAAAAAAACATCTTACAACAATGCCTGATAGCAAGTGCTATAAGAGTTGAGGATGATGATGTTGTGGTCATCTTGTTAAAATCGAGACTCTGTACTGTGACCCTCAGTCTTTGCAACCTATTTATTTATTTTCACTGCATCAGTTTTTAGTTGTGGCACTTGGGATCCTTCATTGTGGCTCATGGGCTCCAGAGTACATGGGCTCTATAGTTGAGGCGCCTGGGCTTAGTTGCCCTGCTGGCATGTGGGATCTTAGTTCCCCCATCAAGAATTGAACCCGTGTCCCTGCATTGCAAGGCAGATCCTCAAGCCCCGGACCATCAGGGAGGTCCCCTCATTCATTGCTCTTGGATTCCAAGCCACATTGTCCTTTGGCCTGTTCCTCATAAGGGCCATCCTTGAACCTTTAGCCTCGGGGCCTTTTGCACATGCTAGTATCTGTCTCCCTGATTAGAATATAAGCTTCATAAGCGTAGAAATTTCTGTTTTGTTCCCCACTGTGTCCCAAACAGCTAGCAGATGTTCTATAATATTTGTTCAATTAATGAATATCTACTATGATAATTAGACCCAGTGCCTGGCACAAAGTCTGGCTTATGTTCTTTTTTTTTTTTTTCCATTTATTTTTATTAGTTGGAGGCTAATTACTTTACAGCATTGCAGTGGTTTTTGTCATACATTGAAATGAATTAGCCATGGATTTACATGTATTCCCCATCCCGGTCCCCCCTCCCACCTCCCCCATTACATTTTTTTAAAAAAAAACCAATTACATTTTAAACAATTGCTTTCACTTGAGCCCCAGCTTTAAAAAAAAAAAAAAAACTGTGCTTTTCTATTTTCACAGTGAAGGAGGCATTAGGAAAGTTCTTGAGTTCTGCTGTTTTCATGGATAAAGAGTATCCATATGCAAACAGAAGCCGTAGAACTGGGGAAATGATTGACATTTGAGCTTCATTGAAACTAATGTTCTATGTATTAAAAATCTTATTAACCTTTTGATGTCTGTAGGATTGATAATAGCACTCCCTTTTCAATCCTGATATTGGTATTTTATGTTTTTTCTCTTACTGAGAAAACAGAATTTACTAATAGTTTATTAATCTGTTCAAAGAACCAATTTTTGACATTAATTTTCTCTGTTGTATGTTTTCCATTTCTCCAGTTTCTGCTCTCTTTATAATTTCCTTCCTTCCACTTTATCAGGGCTCAATTTGCTGTTCCTTTTCCAGGATATGGAAGCTGAGGTACTTGATTTTCAAGTTTTTACATCTATACACATTTAAAGCTATAGATTTTTCCTTGAGCACTGCTTTAAACTGCTTTAGTCACATCCCCCAAATCTGATAAGTATTTGGAAATCAACTAACTCCTTCCATTATTTGATGCCCTATTAGCTCACTTTCACCCCCCAATTCTGCTTTGCAGATGTGGAGCTCCATCCTTGCAAATTCAAGGATAAGCAAAGCTGGCTGTCTTGAGGAACTGGAAGAAGGCCCATGTGGCTTGGAATTGGAGAGTGAGTGATACAGGAAGAGGGGAAGGCCAGGCCAGATCATGCAGGGTTTTGAGATGAGGTTAGGGAGGCTGGTTTTTAAAAAGATGACTGAAGAAAAAATGCACAACCTAAAAGTTGTTGAGTTATGTTATATTTCAGGACTTGACTGAGGACTGAGGACAGTAGCCCAGGAGACAGCTACTCAGATAGCTGAGGAGCTGCTCCAAATAGGTAAGGGAGGACTCTGGATATACAGGAATTTTTGCTGAAAAAAAAACCCATGTAGTCAAACATCAAAATATTACTGCTAATCACAAAAAGCAGCCTTCTCAAGTTAATGATTTTAGCACTTTTCCATGTATGGGAGGATGCAAGAGTCTGGGCTCATTGAAATCTTTTCTCAGGTATGCATCTTTTTTTTTTTTTTTTTTTGTATTCCCCATCCCAGTCCCCCCTCCCACCTCCCTCTCCACCCGATCCCTCTGGGTTTTCCCAGTGCACCAGGCCCGAGCACTTGTCTCATG